ATATATTCAAAATAATTAACTTCGATACATAAAATTAAATGAGCATTAAAAATATTGCTGTGAATTTGTGCAACAGCAAATCCATAACTACTATCATGTTATTAAATTAAAACTAGAATTATAAGCGTGGGATCGCTACATCGAAACACTACGATCAAAAATTACCTATAAGCTCTTTCTGTATAAAGCCTATAACATTTTCCTGGCCCTGTTCGACCGGCTCGACCAGCTCTCTGCTTCGCTTGCGCCTGCGAAATTGGTGTAACAACTAATGAATCCATACCACTTTTAGGATTGTATATCTTTTGTTTCACAAATCCTGGATCAACTACATAATAAATTCCATCGATCGTCAGAGAAGTTTCAGCTATATTTGTTGCAATGACCACCTTAAATATTAATATTTTATTCAAAAACTACGATTTAATGAACTTACGGAAAACCGAGTAAGCTAAACTAGTAGTATTAATCTTGTCACAAAATACTCACTTTTCGACTGCCCTGCGGTGCAGGTTCAAATATTCGAGTCTGCATTTCGCTGGGCAATGCTCCATACACAGGTAAAATGATCAATTCTGGAACATCCGGTCCAAGACTTTTCATCCTCTCATAAAGCACTTCACATGATGTATCGATCTCTTCCTGCAAATTTTTTTCATTCCAAAATCAATTTTTTTAAAAAGATGTTGCATGAAACCAGATGCAAAAGAAAGCATATTTAACTATCATCATATCAAAGAATAAGCAACAGCCATTTTAAAGAGTGTCATCGATGAGGAATTTCAGTATTTTTCATACCTGACCAGTGAGGAAAACAAGAATGTCACCAGGAGGTTCAGTAAGATGAATCTGCATGACAGTAATATGAGCTGCATCTAGATAATCTGTTTCTGGTTCACGGGTATAAAGAATTTCAACAGGAAATGTTCTCCCGGGTATTGTGAATATAGGAGCTTCAAAGAAATATTCCGAGAATTTTACAGCATCCAATGTAGCGCTGCAAAGTAAACTTTGATTTGCAACTTCATTTTCCATAGAAAAAGAGAAATTTACGATGTCCGAAGAAAACATTAAAATATTTGATTTTTTACTAATTTTTGATTTTAAAATGCGGATTTACTATTTTTAGATATATTACAAGATTTACCTAGTAACAATTAACTTCAATTCCGGCCGTTTTTTGACTGCTGCTTTAAGGAGTCCAAATAAAACGTCAGTATGAATAGTTCTTTCGTGCGCTTCATCTAACATAATTACAGAATATGATGTTAGATCTGGATCCAGCAAACATTCTCTCAGCAGCATACCATCCGTCATATACTTTACTATAGTGTCCTGGCTGAAATGAAAATGATGCAGAATTCAAATGTTATTATATAATGAAAAAATATCTGAACAAAACATCTGAATTTGAAGAACAAACCTCGTGCAATCTTCGAATCGAATGGTGTAACCTACTTCAGAACCGAGTCTGCAACCCATCTCTTCAGCTACACGTTTAGCAACTGACATAGCAGCCACACGCCTTCAAATGCTTTGACGAAATTGATTAGTATGTAAAATTAGAAACATCAATGTTATTAAAAACTATGAAATTAAGTGAATAAAATAAATGAGCATCTGACAGAAAAATTTTAGAAAATTCCTTCTTAATGGATGTGGCAAAAAACTAGTACCTAATTATTAATGCACATGAATAATTAGTAAAAAATCCTTGGGAAGAATGTGATATATGTTCGAAATATCTATCAAAATAACCTGCTGTTTACAGCAGTCGTTCATTTTAAATCAAATTATTTCGTCTCTCATATAAATAATAAACTCAAGAAATATTATATCTACCTTGGTTGAGTGCATCCTACGCGACCACGAACAGAATACCCTGCTTCAACGATATATTGAGTAATTTGTGTAGTCTTTCCAGATCCTGTTTCTCCGATAACAATTAAAATATTCTGTGCAGCAATCGCTTCCAGAAGCGCATTTTTCAATGCATAGATTGGAAGCGATTCACGCTGTTCTTTTAGAGACATATTAGTTCTTTTTCCGTAAGTTGCTTTCCCACCAGCAGTTACATGTTTCAACCATTCGGGCATTTCCTAAATAAGCATTTGATATAGCATTTCATCAAAATATTTTTAATATTATTAAAGGAATTAGGTAAGAAATAACACTAAGCAAAGCATAAAAGACAAGTGAAATATAAAATTTCTCCAATGTCTTACTCGTGTTTTGGTAAAAACTGTACTCGGAGCCATTAAAAATAAATTTGGAAAAAATATTTAAAAAAATAACTTAATTTGAGCAATTAAAATAATTTACAAACAGTAGTCAGATACCAAGAAGAAATCTTAAACCCAACATTATCTACAGGTAATCACATAAATTATTGATAGGTACCATATTATTTACAAGTTCTACATTTACCTTCTGCCTTTGACCTACACCAGAAGCATCTATAGATGGCTGCCCCGATAAGTCTGCCATTGGATCGTTGATTCTGGCAGTTGAAGAGAGACCACTTCGGTGAGAATGTGACTCTTGCTCACGCTGCATTTGTAACTTTTGATCACGTCGTTCTTTCGCCAGAGCACCCTGTAATATGTTTGATATGTATTTAACTTTTGAAACATAGTCCAGATTTACAAGTTTTTACAATAATACGAGAATTTAATAAATTTATCAAAATAGAACTGTATGAATGATAGACCTGCATTAACGCTGCTTGTGCTAAGCTTCCATCAGGATTCTTGACAACTTTTACAGGTTCGAGATCTAACAAGCACTTTCCATAACCCCGAAGAAACTCTGGTTCTTCCTCAACAATTTCTATCTCGATGTCTTCCCCATCACTTTCCTCTAAAAACTTGGTTTTTAATGAAATTAAATAAAGTTTTAACTTGGACAAAATGAACGATAAAACATTTCACAGTCTTCTGCTAATAATGACCGTCATAATTTCTGAGAACGCCCAGTTCTTCATCAAAATCCGGCAAATCAGCATTAGTAATAGCTCCTCCTCCTTGCATTTGTCTTAATTCCCATCTTTCAGGAGTAGTCAAGCGAATTCTGCTTTTCTTTGCACTAAAATTTGTTCTATAATAAGCTAATTTATCCGTTTATAACAACGCAAAGAAAGTCTTGTGAATATGAACCCCGATTATTCTGCTAAAGACTAACCTTTTTGTCTGGTTAACAGACACATCATCGGGGTTGCCAGAAACTGAAGGATTGGTCCATGGTGCTTCTGGATTGCATGGTGCACGAGTATAATCTAGAACAGGTGTTGATGCACGTGGTTTAAGGTCTTGCCCTGTTCTCTGATCAACTTCTTTCATCGACAAACCAACCTTTCCTAATTCAATCTTGATAACCTAAAATAATAATAACGGCAGATCATGACTATAAATAATGAATCAAGGAATTTTCATCAAAAATTATCGATCAAAAAATACAATCCTGAATGAAACGCCATAAATAAACGATACATTTAAATTAACAATATACGCTTAGATTAATATACTGATAAATTAAAAATATTAGCGTACCTTAACTTTAACCTTCTGGTTGCGAGTTAGCACATCAGAAACAGAATTTACTCGTTCCTGCTGGATCTGTGATATATGTAAAAGGCCTTCACAACGTTGACGCAAGCCCTCCAACTAAAGATAGCTAGTTTTCATGCACCTTCGATGAGAATTTGTGCTGAGGCACATACGCCACAGCATAAATCCAACAATGAAAAAAATAGATGTTCCGTGGTTTTGAAATTTAAATCTAATCGTGTAAAAAAAAATAAATAAATTTAAATTTTTTCGAAATACGTAATCTTTACTGAACTAGTGATAGCAACAATACCTGTACAAAAGCTCCGAAACTCTGGATACTTATTACTCGACCATTATAAATATGCCCAACTGACGGAGCTGGACTGGATCTTCTTCTCCGATTTTCAGCAGGAGAATAGGAGCTGCTTCTGCGATGGTTTCTAAAGAAACTTCTGTAAGATATGGATAACAATCAAACACAACACACACACCATCCTGCTAAAGAGTCAGTTATATATGTATATATACATATATAATTGACTGCATGAAATTTATTGGCTTCAATGCTACCTTGATGAAAACCCATTTCGTTCGTGACTCCACTCCCTGCTTCGCTTTGTCGATCGACTTCTTCCAGAATCATGAGTTTCACGTCTTCGTTCGTGACGTTTATATTTGCTATGAGTTGGAGAATTACTACGTCTATCTTTACTTCGCGAACGATATCGACTTCTCCTTTTTTTATTTACCTCTTCCGTTATTTTGGACTGAATTTAAAGAAATATAAAAATTTAACTTCAAGAAGAATAAATGAAAACGTAAAAATAAATATGATAGTCAATCATTCACTGACTTTACAACGTAAAGTTATGCTAAAATATTGTCAACATCAACAAAATATTTGTTAGGAAAGTAAAAAAAAAAGTCTAACTTTTTCCTTTTTCCATTTGGGTTGCAAGCCCTCCAACTCATTCATCAATTTATCGGCATCAACGTTTGGCATTGCGAGAGCTGGAAGTGTTTCTCGCAATAAATTTTTATCCTCTGATAAAGTTTTTACATTTATTTCAGTTTTTTTCTTTGGGTGCATATGCAGTATGATACGAAGAAGATTTGCCAATAGTGAATCATCAAACTGAAATGCAGAAACGCATCTAGAAATTCTAGTATGAAAAAATTAATCACACAGTCATTCTTAATTTATAATCTTAAACATGGCAAACATAAGTATTAAAAACTGTGTAAATTATCACACTAAATTTGAGCGATTTATACGCATTTATTGATAATTACTAATTCTGAACTGACGCAGCGGTTTCCTGTTTATTCATTTTAGAAATGAAGCACATTTGTTTTCCAGGGAGAAATATATACCAGAGTAGTAATCTGGAAAAACGAAATCAAGTCGAAAAGATACCTGATCAGCAAGTCCCTCTTTAATAATTGCTTTCTTGAATTTATCAAAAGTTGAATTCTCCGTAGCCAAAAATATGATAAACTCTGCCACATCCTTGTCTGCGATCCCGAGATGATTATCCAACTCGACACATACTCTCGAAACCAATGAGAGACGCTCAAGTTCCTCCATAACTGAAACCTGAATTTACTAAACCAAACAGATGACACACCAAATACAATACCTTATCAAGAATTAGCCACTACTAAACATTGCACTACGAGAAATATTCCATAAGATTAAAAATTGCATAATGTTTCTATGCTACGGTCAAGAAATGAAAAGCAGCAAAACTCGGAATATATCGCCACAATTGTTTACTGTCAATATTTGGTTTTCATTGTTGTACTACTCGTTATGTTAAATTAGAAAATACTTCCAAGGAAGAGAAGAACGAGCATTAAAAACATGTCATATATTGCCACGAAATATCAAGCCCACGAAGCATCAAGAGTAACCTGTAGATTCTAGTAACATCCCGCGCACAAACTAACGAACCTGGAAAGTTTGTATTTGTTTTTGTGATGTACATAAATTCTTCTCTCTTAGACTGGTTCGGGAACACCTCTATCATTTAAGTGACACAACTTTAAGCTGTATTCAATACCAACAACGATATTTTAGCAATGACGAGAGTTGCTAGTATGTACGAAACAGCACATAATCATAAGAGGTGCAGGTTGAGTGTTTGATTTGAAAGTGGCTGATAGAACGACAGTCATGGGATTATTGATCAAATGTGTGACACATCGGCAATGTAAAATGTTTTTGCGAGGTGATGTACGGGTTTCTTATGTTTTAGAGTTTATAGTTTCGAGTGTTGCTTAGAATTTGTGTTTGGTGTATGAATTTATGTGTCATGTGCCAAGTACACTTTATTCAGGTTTTCTCAATGAGTTTTAATTCATTTCTGCAAGTTTACAGTAGTTTATATCGAGATACTTTCAAATTTTTAAAATACTAATCTCTTTTTAATTGTCAAATTTGTGATCTAAATTAATTTCTGCCAAATAAATTCGAAAAAAATTAGGTGAAAAAACAACTGTCATAATAACTTCTCATGCACTAATTTTTGTGGATGTCATTAAAGCAAAATTACTTATTAGTTTGTGTCTTAAAATCAGTTTTTGACAGAAAAATGTCCATCAGTTGGGGCACACAATATTCGAAGCTGAAAACCAATCTTGGTTTAGCTATGAATCGTCTGAAGATGTTGGAGAAGAAGAAAACTGAATTGGCTTTGAAGTCACGAACTGAAATTGCTGATTTCATCGCGAGTTCGTTTCTGCTGTTCATCGTTCTAGTCTGTAGTATTCTAATGCGAAATTTAATAATCAGTCACACATTTTTTTATAAAATAAGTTTTCTATGGAATATGTTTCATACTGTATTTTCTTAGACCTGTATTATCTGACCGTTTCGGATCTATGAGGTAAATGCAGTATAAAGTGCTTTAACTACTCTATTTGTAAATAAAAGTGAGAAGATAATTTATATAAATGTATGCTATGATGCTTTCAAGTATTTTTGCAACACAAGATTCCGCTTCATATATTTTAACGGTTTGTGACTGCAATGCTTTTGCATCATTTGCATTTATCATATTGTTTATCTTATGCGAAATTCGTAAGAGAATATATTTAAGATCACAAAGAAGATCGGGCTCGAATTAGAGTGGAACATATTATACGAGAAGATTTTCTTGTCGAAGCATACGAATTACTAGAAATGTATTGCGATCTGATCCTTGCACGATTTGGTCTTATACAGCAAATCAAGTAAGTTTTCATCTTATGTTTCTTCATTCACAAGTCAGCTATGAGAGTCAGTTTGGTAACGTATATTTTCCTCGTAGGTTTTGTAACGTATTCCATTGCGTATGTACTCATCTCTGATTCATCTTGTTTTCTACTTGCAGGCAACTTGACGATGGAATTGCTGAAGCAGTTATAAGTATTTTATGGGCTGCACCTCGCGTGGTAACAGATGTGAGTGAATTTAAGGTAATACTATTTTCTACACAAAAATATTGGGAGCAGTTTAGATTCCATAGACCGTAATTTTGCACAAAATTTTTTGCTTTTACAAATTTGTACTCTTACGAAGTATAATTTTTGTCATCTTCGATTTCGTCCTCCTATATTCTTCTTCACTCATCCTACAAATAATCTTGTTGGAAAAATGTTTCACATTCCAGGTTATTAGTGATCAGTTAACTTTAAAATATGGTAAGACATTTGCTGAAGCTGCACGGAGTAATCAATTAGAGTATCCTGCTAAAGTGTCGCCGAAATTAATATCTAAACTGAGTATACAGGCACCTCCAAAAATCTTGGTAGAAAGGTGAGGTTTTTCTATTCATTAAAAAAATAAAAGTAGCATAAACAAGTGAATCAAAATCGGTTGTATATAAGAGCGATTAAAATTTTTATAGAAAATTTTTACTCATAGTTTCTTTAGGTACTTGATCGAAATCGCCAAGTGCGCTGGGATACCATTTACTCCTGACCCAAATATTATGCGTGAAGACGAAGTCGCTGCTGCAGAACAGATGTTAATAGATTTTAGAAATCAAGGCGGAGTGAGGCTTGGTTTTGAAAGATGTTGCTGATTTATAATCATGCTTTAATTGAATTGACGCTTTTATATCATTGGTTTTAGAAATTAAGAGGTGATTGTTTGTATAATTTTAGAAAGGTTACGGTTGGATGTATCCCGGTGATAAATCAGATAACAAAGGGTCACCTCCACCACCTTCAAATGAAGGATCTGGTTTGTATATGATTTTAATTGAAAAATTACCACATCACTTCCCCTAAATCATTGAGCTTTGTTTTTAGGATATTATCCGGGACCACCACCCCCTCCTCCTGCTGGATTTAAAAACAATTTCGGAGGTGCAGAAAAAAGTATCTCTTCTGCCCTTTCTTCCAATCGAGATGTTCATTGTGCTTTAAATTATCCTCGTTTGAGTCAGGTATATCTTTTTTAGTTGAATAAAAGTTATTCAAGATCAAGACTTCTGTAATTTATCTTAGTTTTTTGTTAAATGTGATCAGTTCAATATCATTTCAATTATTTCGAAATTGGTATTGTGGTATTTACGAAAGTAAATGCATTGGTATGGCATTAGGAGCTTTCTTTTCAGTAATTCCAGTTCTTTTTAATCATATGTTCCTTTATTCACGCATTTTCAACATCATTTTATAGATTGATGGTTCACCCACTGATGTTAAAATTGATCCGAATCCACTCTCTGGCGTCCCATCAGCTCCACCCACAGATACCGCACCATTCATTTCAAAAAATTTTGGTAAGTTCTTAGTCCGGTCAGTTAGAACTATTTCGTGACTGCTTTATGTTTCATCACTAAAAATACAAAATTTTTTTAAATGAAAAATTTTGTTGTGATTTGGCCAAGGATACAAGGACTAAATTTTTATAGAATCTTAAACAAATATCTTATGAAAATATTTTTCAGAAACACCTGATTTTCCCGAGCCGCCAAGTGATTTTCCTGGAATGTTTGACTCAGAATCACCATCAAAAAATGATGGGCATCAGTCAGAGGCTGGTGCTGGTAAAGATGAACTTGATTTTGATGATTTAGCAAAACGTTTTGATATGCTGAAGAAAAAAACTAAAAAATAGATTTTATTTTCGATCTCTGTGTGTATATATTTCTGTGCTTCTTATATATTCCCAGTTATTACTTTTGTAACATTAAATTAATTTCATTTTTCGTCGCGTATTATCAAAGAAACTGGATGCACAAGAGGTTCTATTGTTTTTAGATTATCATTGCTGGTCTGATTTAGCTGATTGTTACGAGTAGTATTCATATTTTATTATATTCTAGCTTCGTTTTATTAAAAAGGCAAAAATTAATTTAAAATTTTGGGGATTCGTGCTTCATAATCATATTTCGAGCACTCAGTTAGGAGGTTTTGGGTTTTTATATTTTGCAACACAATCTAAGCTTAAAGTTGTTTGAAATGCGTGTAATTGGTGAATCGCAAAATTCTCATATTTGCTGCTGAGACCTGTAATGGGAAATAATTACAGTAGAGAATTGTTATCTATTTCTGGCTATACTCTCTATAATTATGTCTGTAATCATAACAGCAGTGCCGTCATCAAACATTGTTTCATGTGAGAAAGGGATGCTTATGACCGTTGTGTCGCATAATTGCGTCCATCCATAGTCATCATGTAGACTGCTTCTAACGTTTGATTTTAATAGAGTTATATGGAGGCTGGAAGGATCTTTAAGGCTTCTTGGGCTGTATATTCGCATCATTTTCAGCAATTCCCATGCATTGTCGATCATCGCTTCCTTCATTTTGCTGTTGATTTCCATCTGCCCTGTGCGAATCTTGATGAATTTCATGATTTGTGAACGATGTTGCTTGTACGATGGCATTTGTTCTGTAGAGTTCCAGCAAGCCACTCCATCAATTGATATCAGTTGATTGACACGAATACCTGAAATAAAGAATCTGCAAAGTATCGGAATTTTGCAGTGAATTGCACACATTTGCAAAATTCCAGCCTCTGGAAATTGATTTCAGTTCAGACTAAGTTGTTCGCAAGCTTTCATTATTTCCAACTAGAAACCTGGGAATGCTCTAGTACTAAACTGTCAAAATTGACTTGTGCATTTTGTTAACTCTTATTTTATTGCTGAGATAAATAAAAATAAGACTTTTACCCTGTTGGTCCAGTTCATTTGCACATTGATAAGCCAAAACAGCACCGAATGATGCACCGATAAATATAGTCTTTCTATTTTTGCATAAATGTGTGCGCATATCTTGAACGTATTTGGAACATAAGCTTTCAATAGACCGGTAAAGATTTGGGTTTCTCAAATATCCGTATGAAAAAGTATCGGGATGTTCAATACCGATTATCTTAAAAGGTCTTGAATGTTTCAATAGCATTTGGCGCACTATTGGTGCGTACGTCACAGTCACGCCACCAATTAATGCATGAAAAAAGACAATTATATCGCCAGTAGCGTTAGATTCGTTTTGATAAAATACATGAACAGCATTTTTGTCCTCAAATCTATGTAAGTCTGTAGCTTTTGCAGCGAAATCTTGGTTTAGTGTACTTGCCAATATTAAATTTTTGCATCCTTCATGCACAGATTGGTTTGTTTTTATTGAATTTTCTGGCAAGAAATTGCGGTGTTTGTCGTGTAATCGTTGACTTATTAAGCATCTCATATGCGTAAAGTGACTGTTTTTGAATATCTCCTCGATTTCAATAGGGATATTAAATTCTGCCTGAATTTGCCGCTTTAATTTAAGCGTTAACATGGAATTCCCGCCTTCCAAAAAGAAATTGTCTTCATCACTAATTGTCTTTTTGTTCAGGCACTCAGCCCAGATTCTCCGCAGTGCTGAATCAGTCTCCTTTATCTCTGGTGATTGTGCGAAATATAGTGATGAGTTATTATCAATACTTTTGTTCTTAATTATCTCACTTATTTGTCGCTGTACTTCATGACTGATCAAAGTCTTCTCTAGCAATGCAACCATTCGTTGATGTAATTGCAGTAAGTGTTTTTTCTTACTTTGACGATTTTGCATTCGAAGTCGACATAAATATCGCTTTTCTGATTGGTCAACTTCTACTTCAATTTCATGGATGCAGTCGGGTGGTGCGTGTACTTCACCTTCACCTAGTATACACTCACGATTATCCTCTAGTCCATAACGAAAATTAAAGAATACAGTTTTGTGTAGACGATCAAGCATTTCTAAACTTGCTGGGTCAAACTTCTTCAGTTTACTTCGAATCGCTTTGAAAAGAATAACAAAGGGTATTTGTTCAAATTGACGAACTTCGTTAACTGCTGCGCTAATGTTGCTGATATGCTTCTTAATTAATTTCAAGTGACTTTGAGAATACTCCTTCCTTTCAAAGTCAACTGAGTTTTTGACATTAACTTCATTCTCATTACTAATACCCTCATCAACTGTAACAACCCTATCATGCTCGCTTTGTACGAGTAAGTTGTTGAGGAAATTACCTATAATTTGATTAGTTTTCAAAGTGCGATTTGCTATGGGAATGCTGATAATCAGCTGATTTGTAGCTGAAATTTCATGTAAAGCCAAAGTGAAGGAACTAAGAAAGACTACAAGTGGAGTGACTCCGAAATGATGGCTGATATTCTGAACTTTTGCTATGTCAACAGTAAATCTTGTCTCGAAGTATAATCCAGAGTCTTCTATCTTCAGAGGTTCATCTGACTTCTGACTGCTACATTCAGCACTAATATCAGTACATTTCCAATTTTTGTAAATTTGATTGCAGTCTTGTTTCTTTGCAATCCACTTCATGATCTTATCAGCATAAGCATTTGCCAGTTTTTCTAGCAGATTATTTTGTTGTTGTTGTTCAATGGAATATTCGGCGTATGTAAAATGCAGCTTTGAACTGATATCGAATAGATTATTTTTTAATACTTTCTGATACAGGTCAGTCAAGTCATTTTCGAGAATGCCCGTTGACCACGCGTCAATAATAATATGATTTATGCGTAGGATAACATAAGACATATTACTGACTACTAAAAAAGTGCACAAAATAGGAGATGTATCTGTAAAGAGAATTTCAGAATTTCGAAGAGTCTCAACTTTTTCTGCTATGTAGCTGTCAGCATTCGTTGATGGAAAATTGCATTGCAATATACTGCTATGAAAGTAAGCCTCTGTTCCGGAAAGTATTTCTTGATAAGCTTCGAAATTCCTTTCTGGGAAAAATGTTCGTAGAGAAGGTTGGCGTAAGATCAAACGGAGAAACGCCAATTTTAAATGATGAAAACTTAAGGATACGTGGAATTTCTGTATATATATCAGTTCATAACATTGACGTTGTTTGGTTTCATTTAGAAATCTGAATTGTTGCTGTTGAAAACTAAGAGGAATATTATTAAAATCGAATAACGGCTTCTTCTCATTATAAGAATCAGAAATTTTATCAACCTTTGAACTCTTTGGTTTATTTAAGGATTCTGAAGCAATATAAACCGACAGCCTTTTTACGTTACGATAGTGAAAAACGTCAGATGTATCTACGTGATACGTTAATTTATTTTGGATCATTTGAACAAGTTTTGAAGCTGAAAATGAATTTCCACCAAAAGCAAAAAAGTCGTCCTGGGTTGTGATACAACTATTTTGGAGAACTTCTCTGAACAAGACAAGTAACTCTGCTTGAAGTCTGTTTTCAACTTCTAGATCCTCCACTATTACAGATTTATCTTCTACATGCAATAATGCTTTCAAAGCTTCTACATCAATTTTCGAATTTCTCGTAAGCGGCAATTGATGAAGGCTGTGAAATCTGATGGGCACCATATAGTAAGGCAAATATTGTAATAAAAAGTTTCGCAAAGTACTCCACTTTAATTCATTTCTTGTGGACGAAGGAATAATAAAAGCAGCTAGTTGCTGTTGATCCTTTGTTAAAATCACTTTAGCGGATTTCACGTCAGAATGCTTGCACAGAATATTTTCAATTTCGCCAAGTTCTACTCGAATTCCCCGAATTTTGATTTGTTCATCAGATCGTCCTAAGAATATAATATCATCATTAGTTTGGAGACGAACTAGATCTTTTGTATTAAAGCTAAATCTCTGCGATCTCTCACTTCTTCTGTTTATCATTTTTGAGCATGAATCAGTAGAAGTAGATATGTAACCGCGCATGACTCCTTCTCCAGTGATGGCTAACTCTCCAACAGCAAAAGCAGATGTTAGAGCTTCTCCTTGAGAATCTCTTACTGTAATTTCAGTATTTAATATTCCTTGACCAATGTTATTGGCTTTATCAAGCAATTTCATTCGTTTACTTAGCGCATAAGCGGTTGTTTCAGTTGGTCCGTAATTCTGAATAATATTTACACCAGACTTTAGGGCAAATTCTAAAAGTCTGTTATTAATACTTTCTGCTCCAACGATCCAGTATCTAAGATGTCGCAAGTCTCTAATTTGCTCTGTGGTGAAACATTCCACTAAACCTGGAAAAAGAAGCGCATGACTGATTCTGAAACTCTTCAGTTCATTCAGAAACTTATCCGGCGTAAAGAAATTATCTCGGAGAAGCAACGAAGCACCATTAACGAAGGCCATTATTACTTCCAAAACACTGTTATCAAATGCAAAGTTTGTGAATTGGTATACGCAGTCTTCAGACTTCATCCAAAAGTTTTGAGTACATGCCACTGCCATGTTAAGCAAGCCATTTTGGTTGATTGCTACTCCTTTAGGTTTTCCGGTAGTTCCCGAAGTAAATATCACATAGGCTAAATCAAGTGGAAGGGTTTTAAAATGTCTGTAAGACATATAGTAATTTTTAGCAATATGTGAATCAGTTAGTTGCAGTTCTACAGCATTTTGAAATGAATAACTTTTAGATAAGTTTGGAAATGCCTCATTAAAAGTTAATTTGTTTTTAATGACAACATAGAATGCTGCATTGATTTGGTCCAGAACTTTTGAGATTCTCTTCATCGGATTCATGCAGTCAATGGGAAGATAAGCAGCTCCGGCTAGAATCACTGCGTAACATATAATTAAAGTTTCGATACTATTAGAAGCAATAATTGCTATCACATCATCAGCTCGTAATGCTCTGCCTGTAATCTGAATAACCTTTTGCTGTAAAACTCTTGAAATCGTTAACATCCTTTCTCTTAAAGTGGTATAATCAACTTTTTCATCACTTCCAATCACAGCTGAATTGATTGCTGATTTAGAGTTATTTTCAAAAGCATCAGAAATCAGTTGCTGAAGACTAAATTTTGGATAATCACTCTTTCTCTTAACTGTAGCTGAAATATTAAATTCGCTGTTTCTGTCTTTGTTTCGATTCATTTCCTCTTTAGAATTATTTTCATGAAAATGACTTTGGCGTTCATCTAATTTGACATTTCGACCGTCAGCTTCCTTAATTCCATTTACTATGATGGACTCCATTTTTCCGATTGTTTTAGCCCAACAATTGAGCATTGCATTCATTGATTCATTATAAAAGAGATCTTGTTTAAATTCAATTTTCGCAACTGTATCTTCATCTCGAGGCGTGAGAAACAACGTCAAAGCACACTTTGTATACTCACTATCATTATTCAAAAATTGGTAATTCTTACTGAAAGTTTCATCCAAACTGTCAACAATCATAACTTGAATAAAGTTAGAAATTCCATGCTTTGTGCATATCTTTTCTATTTCCACGCTAGAGATGTCAGCGTTTACGTATGCATCAGTTAAGCATTTGGCGACATTTTGTATCAAATTTTGGTAAGTTCTTTCTCCAACGTCAATCAATATTGGTAATACGTTGATACACATTCCGATCACTTCACAGTCACGCATATCAAATGGACATGCAATTAGTACTTCAAATGCTTGATCTGTTCTCATAGAGATTACTTTGCTAAATGCTGCCATTTGTATCGTAAACGGTGAGCATCCACACTTGTTGGCTATTTTCCTTGTTATCTTATACAATTTTGAAAAAGTTTTGCAAATAAACTTGCATTTATTACCGCTTGCAGTGTTTCCGATTACTTTGTCGTAATAAAAGTTCAAAGCTTGTGAACCTTTCAAAATCTTTGACCAATACTTTGATACTTCTGTTCGACGCTTAGAAAACCTTTGCTGAATCCGTTTACTGAATTCTAGAAAATTATCACTTTTATAATCAAGTTCAAAATCATGTAAATAAATACAGTGGAACTCTTTAGCTAATATATTTAACGATTTTCCATCACAAGCAGCGTGACTTATTCGAAAGTGTAGCTCAAACTGGTCATTTTTCTTTGACTGATCCTTAGTATCATTTAACCAGCAGAGAATCGGTACCATATCGAAGGGATTCAGTGGCATGTTTTCTGGAAATTCAGAGGTAATTTTTCGCGGTGCAACATAAACTTCAGAACCAGAATGGATTTCTTGGAAAAATTTTCTATTTTGGCAGTAGAATGTTGTACGAAGTGCACAGTGCCGCAGAATAATTAAATTCAGAGTATACTTCAATCTTAGCAAATTAACATTTTCCAAGCAAATCGAAAAACCCGTCTGATAAGCTCTCGCTAGATCATTTTTAGAGTGTACTAAAGGAAAACTTGAAGTTTTTGATTTCTTAGTTTCATTGTAAAACATTATTGCCAATGATTCCTGTAGAGGGCAGACAGGAACTTCAAATTTCCTGGGAAAAACCTTTGAAAGCTTTTGATTCTGTTTCCTTTGAATATATTTAGCAAGTTCCTGAATGGTCTGATATCTGAATATTATCTGTGGTGAACATTCAAAGTCTATCTGTTCTTTAATGTGATAACAAATATTCGCAATCAGCAAAGAATGTCCACCTTTGGCAAAAAAATTGTCGAAAATGGTAACATTTGGATTGTTCAAAATTTTCTTCCAAATCTCAAGTAAGATTCTTTCTAACTGACATTGTTGCTTTGAGCCACCTTTCAATTCTTTTCTTTCTTTTAATTTTTGGTTTTTTTGAAATACCTCTTCCCTTATAATTTTGGAATATTGCAGAATATCTTTCACTCCTGATGATTCATGCTTCAATACTATTGAAGCCATATCTTCATACACTTGCATCATCTTTTGCATCATTGATGTACTGTATTTTGCACTTCTGTATTCCACCACCATCTCAATATACTCCGAAAATTCGGTATAAGACCATGTTTGCTCGAATTTTGCATAATTAGCATTAATTTCTTGCACGATTGCTTTAACACCGTTTATTTTTGGTAATTGCATTGCAGAGGCATTGTGAAGAACAAATGATATCTGATAAATTTCGGAGCCATCAATACTGCGTTTGGGATTCAACCTTTGAATAATATATTCATAAGGAATATGTTGAAATTGCAAAGATTCAGCAATATTTTGTTGGATATTGTGAATAAATTCTGAAATGTTTTCAAAATTTGTGTCTATTGGAATAATTACGTTATTGGCAAATAATCCCACGCAGTCAATAGTATCCTTTGCGCGATTCAGTGCTGCACTAACAACAGCAAACTTTTTTGCAGCAAATAAGTGCCGTATTGTTAGAGCAAAATTGCACAACAAGTATGCAAAAAGTGTGCATTCATGTTCCACACAAAAGCTTTTAACAGAATCCAAATTCTGTGGCAATTTGATACGAATAGTTTGACTTTTTATATTGGTATTTGCATCCGATAGGTCTCCTGTAAACAAGTTTGGTGAAAAGTCACGAAGTTTGCAAATTAATCCCTCCAAACTTCGAAATTCTCTGAGGTTATTCTCCACAGAATGACTGCTAATTTTTTCATCATAAACGAAGGCCAAACTAGCATCACTCTTCAGTACTCTCTCCAAGTTTTCTAGCTGTTTTTGTTGGCGAGAGCAAAATTCAGCATAAGTGTTGCTCAGATCGCTGATATTAGGAAAAATATTGTCTTCATCTAGAAGTCGATTGTAAAAATCGACAAAATCTTTGGTAAGTATGGCGATCGAACGACCATCTACAATCAGATGATCGAAAATTAAAGTAAGCTTTTGGTCCCTTGAAAAATTGATTGTTACAAGCGGATTATCGTATAATGCATTCACTCTTTGATTTGTTTTCGATTTGACTGAAGGATCTATTTCTGCTGTCCCAAATTTTTTGCTACAAATATTAATATAGCACTCGGTTAAAGATGTTACTTCTTGAACGATATTAGCTCCCTTTTGTAGAAAAATAGTACGCAAGATTTGATGCTTTCGCATGACATAATTTATTGCTGTGTTCAAAAATCTGTAATTTAAACGTCCGTAAAAAATAATGTCAAAGCGTAGTTTATAACATTCACGATATTTTTCACTGAAGCTATACAGAAATAATAATCTTTTCTGTTGTAAACTGACAGGAATGCTCTGAATTTTCATTTTTCCAGAAATCGTGCAAGTATCAAGCTTATTTTTGTTGGGCAGAAAATGCGCTGGCTCAGTACTTTTTGTTTGAGTAGAATTTGAAATTTCACTTGCTGAACAAACTTCCACCGTTCTAGATCTGATTGAGTATTTCTGAGTATTTTCACCAGAATTATTAATTATATACTTTTGTCTCAAATATTGTAGAATAGCTTTGAATGAAGACAGTTCGAAAATTTTCTGAAGCTCCAAAGCCATGCCTGTTTCACTCTTGATGTTTTGAATGGCAATCAAAGCCTTTAATGAATCTCCACCTACTTCGAAAAACGATTTTTCTAGTTCGATAACTTTATCAGGCAATAGCTGAACAAATATATCGATGACTTGTCTCTCCCAGAATTCCAGCGTATAGCCAAAGCTTGGAGAGGATTCTGAATTCATAAATGTTTCTGGTATCGGTAGCCGTTTTCGATCAATTTTCCCATTAGCATTTACAGGAAATTCTTGAAGGATTTTATATTGCTTCGGAATCATATAACTTGGTAACTTTGTTGATAAGTACTGTAGTAAGCATTTTGTAATGGAAGCTTTATTTGCTTGTTTATCTTGAAAAAGTTGGACATAGGCGGTTAAGATTTCATCGCTTTCATTATTCTTTTGCAAGCAAACAATGCTATTTCTTACTGCCGGATGTTGGCCGAGAATTATCTCAATTTGACCGATGTCCACTTTCATGCCTCGAATTTTCACTTGAAAGTCTTTTCGTCCATAAAACAGTAAGCCACCAGTATTATTTCGCATCTCAACCAAATCACCAGTCCAAAAGTACCGGTTATCATTGTTTAGCAGCAATTCAAATCTAGTTAAATCATGGTTATGCAGGAATGTTACTTGGTTCAAGTGTTCATTATCGTAATAACCACGTGCAACACCTGTACCCGAAATGCAGCAGGTTCCTGGCGTACGTCGTTCACATAAATGTTTATTATTATTACGTACAAGAAGATGAACATTTTTGAGTGCCTTTCCAACAAAATTCCTTTCATTACAAACTTTCATCAAATGGCAGGTAGAAAAAATAGAACTTTCTGTTGCTCCGTACTGATTATAAAAGGAATAACCGGCTTGAATAGCATCACGTAGAGTTTTATCTTGGATATAATCGCCACCAAAGTTGATTTTCTGCAAATATTTTAATCTCTCCCATTCTTGCGTCGGAATAGCTGATAAATAAGCTGGCATGATATATGCATGTGTGACCTTTGACATTTCATTTATATTTGGTATTCGCTGGCTTGCCAATTGTAAACTTGCTCCATTTGTTTGAGCTTCTAGAAGATCAGCAAAAAAAATATCAAAAGATGGATTAACTATTTGGTAAATTACACTGTTTGAATTGAGACTAAGCATTTCAGCATAATTGAACGCTAAATTACTAAGGCCTAAAAATTCTGTGCAAATTTCTTTGGGATTTCCAGTGCTTCCCGATGTAAATGTTAAATAGGCTAAATTGTACTGCGTGATCTTTTTTCTGATTTCTTGATCAGAATAATCTAAACAGGAAGTGACAAGTTCGTTAATTTCTTGCTTGAATACAGGGTATGCATATGCACTAGCTTCATGTTTCACCTTTCTGAGCTTTTCCCATGACTCATTAAGATCATTTTCATCTAAATCTCGACCATATTTCACGCTGTTATCATAAATGACTGTTGGCAAATGAACTTTGCCAAGAATTTTATGCAAATGATCTAAAGAAATCTCAGAATTAACTGGAAGTGCTGCAATTCCGCATTTCCACAGCGCGTATATCATCACAATCAAATAAACTGACCGATCAAAAATAAGCATCACAAAATGATCACTTCGCATACTTTCGCCCCAGAACTGGAGCAGTTTTTGTTCAAGAAGTCTGGATAACTGATTGCTTGTTCGTTGTAGGAATATGCTTGAGAATAACAAACCATTTTCAATAATGACATTACAGCAAGGATCAATTCTGTTTTGTTCGGTAATCATATTCAAAACTGTCGATCTAATTGGAAAATCACATCTATTATCTTTCATTTGCTGATAAATATTAAATTTTTCTTCTGAGCTTATCAGCTCAATGTTTTCAACAGAAATATACAGGTTTTGTGAAACTCGATGAATTAATCTGATATATTGATAGAGGTACGCTTTTATCATACTTTCATCAAAATAATGCCCATTATACTCGATTTTGATCGTTATTTTTTTCTTGTAGCAGAAATACCAAACTTGGTCGTACTGTGCAAAATTAGAGTCATCGCTTGAAAAAATGTCAAGGTTTTGTTCTGCATTTTTGTCATCGTTATCACCATTACATTTATCGTGCTCAATGTCATCACTACTTTGATCGTCTAAGATGAATAAAACTTGAAAAAGCGGGGAATTTGATCCATCACGCGGCACTTGCAGAGTTGTAATCAGATCATCGAATGGCATTTGTTTATGAATACTTTTATTCATTTGTTGGTATGATTTCATTAAGGCATTATAGATTTGATCAGTGGGATCGATGCTGTTGATTACTGGTACAACATTTAATAAACATCCAATAACTGTGCATAATTCTGGTATTTCTCGGAGAGTGACTGTTATCCCAGTACAAGTATCTCGGAAACCATACAGATTGTACTGAAGCAGTTGAAAGTTGCTAACAAGTACAGAAAATTGTGTCACATTACAACGAATTGCCAAATTTCGCAAACATTCTTCAGTCCTAGAATCTACGGTAAACACCAATTTGTGACTTTTATACAAATTTTCACTTTGTAATATAGCTTTTTTTGTTGGTAGTTGCTGTAATTCAACTTGAGAAACTAATCGTTTCCAGAAATCTTCACGTGACCTTCTATCTTCAGAATCCTGCTTTCGCTGATGCTCCAGAAGCATGTAGTGCGTGTATTGGTATTGTAAAGGTTTCAGCACAGTTTTCTCATCATAAAGTTCTCGCAGTTCATGACTTAGTAATTTTATCGATAAGCCATCAATCATTATGTGATGTAGTTGGACAGTGATCCTGAAAATTTCAAAGGTTTCTTTCTGTTCATCCTTAGCATATTGTATATTGTGATATTGATGAGTCTTATCTAGATCTCTTCCGACCTTTTGATTCTCTTGCTTATCAGCTTTCTCTCGTGCTGCTATCATAATTCTTATCGGTACTTCAGAATCGAATAAATCAATAGGATGAAATACTCTATCAGGTCGCAAGAAAATTGAAAAGTTTGCTTCGGTAAGAGATAGAACTGTTTGACCTGAAGTTGTGTAAATGGTTCGTAGAGCTGTATGCCTTGCTATGATTCTATTGAATGCATTCTGAAACTGAATAACTTGCAGAGTTCCAATACTAAACTTCAAAGTTTCGATAAAACTGAATTTTCTTTCTGAGTACAGTTGACTGAGAAATACTATTCGTTTTTGTACGGAACAGAGTGGAATTTCTTCTCCACTTTTGATGATATTTCTCAATTTTTTATTCAGAAACTCGATATTGGCAGAAAACTTGAAAATGCTTAGAGTGCTGTTTTCTTGCTTGAGATTTTTTGAAATATATTCACTAAGAGCATTTATGGTAGAATACTGATGGGCACTTCCGTAGGGGATGAAAAATTCTTCAGAAAACTTTGTTTGCAGCATAAATTCTAATCGCGCTAATTTCAAGGAATCAAATCCAAACGATAAAAACGACATATGATCATCTCGGCAGGATGTTTTTGCGATTGATTCCACTGTTTTTCGAACTTTATCCTTTACAGATGGATCAATCATCACTTCTTGAGTGCTTTCTGATATGTCATGCATATTTTCATAATGGAAATTGCAAACGTCCAGGACATTTTCTTGTACTGAGCCTTGATTTAATCTTTTAGCAACAACACATTGGTGGCCAGACATATTTTGTTTAGAACTCTTTGTCGGCTCTTCAAGAAGTCTTTGGAAACGTTGCAAGCAACTCTCAGAAAGATGAATTCCTCGAACAAAACCACATTCAATTCCATAATAGTCAAAAAGTTCCATGTTGATTCCTAGAACCTCTGACCGCATTATAGAAATCCATAATTCTGGACCGATCATAGTTGGCAAGACAACTTGTTTTATTTTTTCTACACTCATTTGCATTTTAAATCCACAAAGCGTTTGCAAAGAATACTCGAGAAAAGTCACAATTTCAATATTATTCGCAAAATAACTATCATTTAATGTGAAACAAATCATCACTTCAGAATCTACGGTTCTTAATTTTTCGTCGTTTATTCTCCTCCATGCTGAAACTTTTTGAGTAATTCCTTTCGAAATCATCCTTAAGTTATCGATTTCGATCATATTACTAACAATTTTATTTAGGTTTCTACAAGGCTTCGTTTGCCAGTGATGTACCTCACCCATGTATGCTTGAACAGTGCAAGTTTCTAAAAAAACCTCTACAAGTTCTAAAGTACTTATTTGATCAATTGCTTTCTTAGAAGTTTTTCGTCCACATTTTGATTCATTATATTGAGTGCAAAGTTCAACTGAGTCAAACATAACCAGTAATGAATTGTCCACAGATCGTTTCCGAAATTCACTGATTAGAGGTAGCAAAATATTGTTTACTTCCATTACTAAAATTTTAGCATAAATGAATAAAACTTGAGAAAGTGAGGAATTCGATACGAAATTCAACATACAAACAAATCGACTAACTTTACTGCTATCAAAAATATGAGAGATTAATGAAAGATCCATAACTTAGAATACAGAGGATCCAATAAAAACATAGGAAGGATATTGAGGATAAAACTTTTGATAATATCACAAAGCATTACAGATTGATAATGTAATAAAGATTTTCAAGCACAATAATTTATAGAAATTAAAAGTTACTGCTTTTTAACAGAAACAAAGGATGGGCAAACTTTTCAGGTAATTATTTATAGAATTAAAGTCAAAAATTTTTGATAACGACTTCAAGATCACATAGTTTACTTGCAAAGACAAAGCATTCTAATTTGTTTGCTATGAAAGCAATACTTTTAGCGTTGTCAAATCTTTGGAAAGAGCTTTGCAAAATTAATTTGGCATCCTCTATTTTTAGTAGTCAAGTATGAAAAATTTTTGATCAACTATTAACCAGATCCAAGATAGAAGTTAGTGTTCATTTGTATATGGCAAGGAAAACTTTGATTCCTAATCGTTTTAAAGACGATTATTGGCATTATCATATTTTGCAATGGTAGCCAATTTGTCGAAATACTTGGCATTATTAAATTTTTTTCAAGCGAAGTTTATTCACATGTCTCTATTTATATTCTATTTTTCGTTTATTTCAAATTACAACAGTTTTGTTTTGTCTAAAATTACTAAAAGTAATTATCAAAAATGCTTTTTAGTTGTGATTTGCTTCCATAAACAGAATAAAGCATTCGAACTTACTTTATCTCTAGCTTTCTACATTAATTTTATAAAATGATTACTCGAAATTGAAGAAATTCAATGCGACTTTTGCCGATACCTTTTCACTTAATAAAAAGTTTTCAATACTTTATATGTATGAATATTGCTAACTTAAATTTTTTCCAAACTAATTGCCACATATATTTATCTCAGAATTACACTAATTCATTTGTCAAGGATTT